ACAGCAATGAGTGCTCAGCGCTGGCCTTCACGACATGGTTGCCATAGACGAAATGCTGTTCACCCGAAGGCTTCAGCCAAACTCGGTACTGTGCCAATCTCGCCTTGGCCGCCAGCCGCAAGGCATGCCACCCGAAAATTTCTGCAGTGAGCACCAGACGAGATAGTCCAACGCCGTGATAAGGAGGCGGAATTTCCGGCTGTGGGTGAACTGACAAGCTGGAAGCAGCTGGATGGTGGAACTGAGAATCGTTTTGAGTAGGCCGCAGGCCTTGCCAATGCAGACGCCAGCACTCAGAAGCTCCTCTCCCGAGAGGTGCTGGGGTGCGGTGTGCAGCTCATAGGGGCACAGTCACTACGAAGTTTTTCAGGCGAAGGCCGATGGTCCAGGACTTGGCTCATGGACATCCCCCGATTAGGTGGACTCGAACTTCAATGTTTCTCCTTCTTCGGAATGTGTCCGGAGTGCTTCAATACCCGCTCGCTCATGTAGAAAACACGCTCCTGTCGGACTTGTTTTCCACAACATGCAACATACGCTTTCCCACTCCACGCAAAACGCTCATTAGGTTACAAAGCCTTGTGAAGTCTGAAAAGGAATATGCCATCGGGTCTGTCAACCATCTGGCGAAGATTCTGGCCAATGTACCTGGCTTATCGCGGCGGCAAGCGGCCGCTGGACAGAGCTAGTGGCTCCCAGTCTCTGTGCGAATTCTGCATGTGTCTCAAGACGAATGTGGTGCAGCGGCACAGACGCCAAGGATTAGACTCAGTCTTACAGACCTCTTACCCACAGCTGATTCCACAGTCAGTTCTGTTGCATGTGCATGTGTATCTATATATATATATATATATATATATATACATATATACACACATATTATATATACACATACATATATGCATACGCATACTTGACAAGAGGGCCACGAAAGCTAGGGGAAGGAAGCGTAGCAGGGAAAGGGTGGGGACTCGATAAGCAAGCCCCACAGCACTGCGAATCCCTGGAGCATGGCGGACGCTTGGCATAATTATGTACAAGCAAAAAATACCCTGCGTTATTGGCATTTTCGGGCCGGAACGGGCCAACCAGCTTTCTGCCTCAGAATAGGTGAAGGACATGTTGTCAGTGACGTGCTGGGCTTAAAGTGGTCGAGGCAACCTACTATCTTTGCTAAATGCTGGCAGTTGTTCAGAGTTTCGCCTGCCCAAGAAGCAGAAAGCGGGTCGAAACCAGTGCTCATCTTGCAGGTTGAAACAATACGTTTGCAGTCGGCAAAAGCATACTAAAACTGCAAACTTGGCCGCCTGACGTAGACAGCAAAATTCAGTTGCCATGATTCTTGATAGCAACCTGGTCAAGGCACTACCTGCAAATCCTGCAATTGCCATATTGCTTCAACAGATGATTGTACAATGTTACAGCCACCTTGATCAGGGATGGGGGGAGGATCTTCCTGCCTCTGAAGCAATCATTTGCGTGATGGCACCGGCGTCCCCCCGCTGCCGTGTTGAGGTATTAACCCACCAAGCCACCACCTAAACGCAATTTTGACCGGATTCCCCACCAATTACGAACTGAGTTGGTAAACGACAACTCCCGCGAGCTCCACGGAGATAGCTCTCGTGGTGATATGAACAAGTCGGTTAAAGGCTATAACCTGTCCGCCGCATTTTTGCGTTGTCGCGAAAACAAGACCAATGCACAGTGTCACGAAGAGGCTGGCATGAATAAAGCAATACCGTTTTCAAGCCCCAAAAGAAGTACGCTCAAGACACGAACAACAAAAACAATATGACCACACCAGAAAAACAAAATCAGAAACACAAAACAACAAAATTTCAAACATGCTCGGCTATCCTCCCAAACCGCCCGCTTCAAATCTTCGAGGACACACACAATCTGTCGTGCTGCTTCCATAGGTGAACCAGAATGGTTTGACTTTCCAGAAAAGTATATAATATACCTCCAACAACATCAACGAATTTTTTCTTCGGGCTACAATAAACGCAGGTCAAAGTGGTGCAACCTTGCGAGATTTTATTCGAAGCCTGAAATACACTGTAGCTTAACCAAACTGGCCAAGTCTGGCGTCATTGAATATGATACAAGACAAGTCTCGAGCATGTGCTTTTACAGGTCACAGCACGAACGACCAAATCGAATGCCACCAATACGAACTGACCAGCCCTGAGAATTGTTGGTCTTCTCCAATCTGTCCCGGACAACCGCCGGCAAAATGCATATGTCAGGAAAAGTCTTTTGCGAGCAGCTTTCTTGAAGGCACGCAGCAGCACAGCCTTGTTTTTTAGTACTCTCAATCCCAGTAACAGCCAGTGATCTATCAAAGAATACTATAAAACGTTGCTTTAATCTGAGTTGTCAACTCTGTTTTTGTGGCTTTTATTCTAGACCTGTTTGCATTTTCTCTCATGTATAATTGCTAAGGAAAGTTATTTGTTGTGTTAATCTTGTGACATGCGAACACAATTAAGTCATTATTATATGTGCGGCTGAACTGATTTCATTAATCTTCTCACTCTGTGGAAGTCACGACCTGGCTGTCGAAAATGAAGACTCGGGTTGGGTTATCAAGTGCGACCCTTTAAGAAACCTATCCACACATACATGCATATGTATATATATATATATATGTATATATATATATATATATATATATATATGGTCAGGCGTCTGGCGTTCCCAGTCCCCCCCCCCCCCCAATGGTATGGTCAGGGGTGGGGGGGGGGGGGGCTGGCGTGTGCGGAAAGTTGGAGCTGCCACCGGATGGTGGGGTGGTGCTGGCGGCCAGGGCTCACGCGCAAGCCCTTCGCAAGCAAGCCGTAAACCCCCCTATAACGCACTTAAAACGCTACACCCAACCCTAAACCCCACCTAACTGCAGGCTCTAAGCCTAAAGCAGTTCATACACCGCAAATCCTCCCTAAGCCGTTGTCGACTCGAAGCCTTATACCTTGTAACCGTAAACCCAAAACTCACAAGCTTAAGCTAAACCCTAAACCCCACAACCACACACACGGGGAAGAGGAACCCCACACCCCACACCACAGGGGAGGGGGGGGGGCCCCACCCTATATCCGGACCATTGACCTTTGGGGGGGGAGGGGGGGGGGGGGGCTGCGGCGCGCCTGACCTTTTTTATGTATATGGTGGTATGGTCTGCTTGGGGTGGGGGGGAGGGGGGCTGGCGTGTGCGGAAAAGGGTGGGGCCGTTAAAGCGCTGGCGGCCAGGGCTCACACGCAAGCCCTTCGCAAGCAAGCCGTAAACCCTATAACGCAGCGCGCGCCCCTGTTTTGAGTAACCTTAACTTGTACTTAAAACCCTACACCCAACCCTAAACCCCACCTAACTGCAGGCTATAAGCCTAAAGCAGAACATACACCGCAAATCCTCCCTAAGCCCTTGTCGACTCGAAGCCTTATACCTTGTAACCGTAAACCCAAATCTCAAAAGCTGAAGCTGAACCCTAAACCCCAAAACCCACAACCACCCGACAGGGAGAAGAGGGACCCCAACACCCCACACTACAGGGGAGGGGCTCCCCCCTAAATCCGAAAATTTGACCTTTAGGGGGGGAGGGGGGGGGGGGCCGAGCGCGTGACCATATATATATATATATATCCATAGCCATATATAATATAGTATAATATAATATAATATAGTATAGTATGATATAATATAATATAATATAATATACGGAGACGCAAGCAACAGCAGTCTGAATGTGAGTCGAGTTCAAAACTCCAGCATGGCACTTCTTCAGCTTCTCGAACACAAGCCTCAGTACAGACCGAGAAAGCGATGCCGCAAGACCAAGAACAGACAACCTCTTCGTCACACCGTCCCAGACCAATTTTTCTCGGAAATCAACTCTTGAGAAAGCACGCGTTATCCAACAAAGCCACATGGACACAGAACAGAACAGGTATATCTTCAAGTGATAGCATTTGATTCCTTAGAGGCTGGTAGGGTAAATCGTTGTATCGGACGGGCCGTCGAAAGTTTGTTCAATTATTGCATGTGCCTTGCAATGCCGTCAGAACCCCTTCAATCGTGAATAGCCAACTATCCCTTTTCATGGTCTGGGTCGCGCCTGGTCTCATCATCCGTCAGAGCTCGCATCCCGAGGGCCTGCACTTCAAACACTTCAGCCATGCGCGCATTGACGATACTGCCTGATTGCTTGGGTAGCAGAGCACGGGCGAACTAGAATAATACTGAATCGAGACAAGGTTTCTGGGCCGGATTCGATGCAAGACCCTGAAAGATGGTCCTTGATCGCCTTCACAACCAGACTTCCGGCTTCGGCAGGAAGTTTGACTTGTCGCTTCCCTGATCGCCTTGAGCACGCCTTGAAGAGCTGCCAGTGGCGAGGCACTGTCCACAAGTGAATTGGTCAATCACTACTCTGCTTTGCAAAAGAAGCTGCAGTGCTTATGTTGCTGCAATCTGCACGCGCGAACAGTGTGAAATCACACGCCGCAGCATGGATCACTCTTTGTCAGGGCTTTGGTGCTTTCCCCCTGAGGGTTCGGAGATGGGATGCTGCAATTGGCTCCGTGCAGTCTGCTCAGCACCCTTTCGCGGCCGAGTTCAAGCACAGCCTACAAAGGTGCTGACAAGTGTGGTGCCTGCTGCTTGTGGGTGACACTCTCATGTTTGACCAGAAATGCCTGCGAGTTGAATCGGCAAAGCTCCACCTCGGATTGCACCTCTTGATGGTATCCCAGCCAACTTCTTTGGCTCTTTGCAATGTAAGCTTCAGTTCGATTCCGCTGCTTCTCAAGCAGCGCAGGGCACTTGCCGGACGTGTTCGTCGTGCTGCACTCAGTCCCGGCTCAGCTTGATGCCGGAGCTCAGATCATCCACAGACTCGTCGATCTTGCCTTCACGCCTTCACAGCTTGGGTTCGGCGCCGCCAGGTTTTCTGGCAGCAAAAAGCCTGCAGTGAAAACGATGCGGAGGACGAAGCGCTGCCTCACTCTCCCACGACGAGGATGAATCCTGCTAGAACTGCTGCCAAGAAATTTTGACATAGCGACGCTCGGATCCATGTTATCTGGTTCAAAGTTGAACGCTTGAGCGACCCGCGACCCTTCAGCGCCGAAGTGAAGTCCTGAGGCCGAAGGCGCACTTCGCGCCCTGACCCGTGCAATGAAGATTCCAACAAACATGATGGCCAAGGCCTTGGCTTTTGGGTTGGCGCACAATAGGCAATGCCCTTCAACAGAAATAGAACCCAGTTTTCCTGCCCTGACGTTTCCTGTCGCATTTGGCTGCCACCCAACCGCACAGCTCTCAAACCCACCCAGCTTCGCATGAGGCGATGATGGCGGATCGCAGTTTATCACACCGGTCAAACTCCCCTGATGACATCTGCGAAACAATGGTTCAATGTCCACCTCATTCCATTCCGCTTCAGGACATGCGCAGGGTGGCAATCACATGCTAGACTCCTCCAATGCCTAGCCCTGCTAGTGCAGGGACCATAGTCAGGTAAACTCTGATTTTGAGCAGGCCCTGCTCCAAGTGAACCCTTAGTAATAGTTGTTTCAAAAAGGTCATCGCATGATGCTTCCACGAGTCTTGTGATCCCCAAGTTCCATCCCCGGCCTATGCCGACACTGCATCATATGCCAATGTGAAGTGTCGGCCGCGGTCGCAAAGTCTGGCGGGGCGGGTGTTTCGGCCGCCATTCATGCGGCTTCTGTCCATAGGTCATGGCCGGAATGTCCAGGGCTTCCACGAGACCTTCCAGTCCACCGTCAGAGTCACGACTCCAAATCGCGCCAGATGACACCAGCACATAGACATCAGATGACATAAGGGAAGATGTTTCTGGGTCACCAAAAACACTAGGTCCCTTGGCGCGGCCCTCCAATTCATCGAGGCCTTCACTGTCTTTGAGAAAGCCAAAATAAAGCATGAGCTGAGCGCTTTCCAAGCGGACTCTGCAGGCAATCCAGCCAACACCGTGATCGATGCAAGCGATAGCTTATGTTGTTATGTTCGGGGTAAACGATCATTACACCACTCCCCGTCACTCAACCGCTCCATCGATCTACAATCGTAGTAAGCCGAGTTTGTCAAGTTTGTGGCATTCCTCCTTTTTTGGCTTCGTGCAGCTGGGTTTCTAGAACCTATCCCTGCTGAAAATCGACTCTTTCCTTCCTGTCTTCTTTCCTCCCATGTCTCTGGTCTTCTATCTTCCCTCCTCCTTTCCCTCCCTACCCGGCCCACAAAGAACCAAATGGAACAAAACCCTGCCGCTGTGGCACAGTCGGCATTTTCGACTGAGGTCGCGATCTTGCCGGTCTGGCTGCAACCGCATCCTCCTCCATATCGGACGTGATAAATCGTACTCCCGCAGCGCCGTGTGTACTTTGAGCTGTTTTGGGGGGTCCCAACTCCCAACAGTCCCTTTTGACAGCGTACTATCCCCCAAATTCAGCTATCTCAGGAGTCTAGCACATTATTTGTATTGTGCTTCCATGTGCTTCTGCAGCGATGTGGTGGGTATATTGGACCGTGCATCGTGTTCCTGCCACGGTCCGTGTCCACCTCCCGAAATCGTGCCCGGACGACAATGCCATGAATTTTATGGGTGCGATTCGCGGTACCGCTTCGAGAAAAAGCCTTACCACCAGAGTCCGGCGCATGTTTTGGGGTGCGATTGCAGTTCCCACATGTTCCCACCACAGTGCTGTGCATGGTTCTTGCGCATGTAGAGAGTTTGGACTGCTGGGTGGTAGCATCCGTCAAGGTCACACCTCCGTGGAGTGTCGTGAAGCAAAGGAGGCTCTTATTCTGCTTCCTGTCTCCTCGAAACAAGACATGGTTAACAAGACTGTTGAAAACACACAGGGAACCATAGAGAAGCACCCGCGAACTCCCACAAGATAAAGTAAACAAAGAGTACAAGAAAAGCTTCGGATGGCCAAAGCTGCGGGATCTAAGCTGCTGAGGTGACCGTTCGCATTTTAAACGCTGCCACCCTTCGCATTTACACACTGGGCACACTTTACCCAAGGATTTCAAACCCGTTGGTAGCTGAAGCATGCATACAAGTAGATACATGCCCACACCCGAACCAACATGAACCCACACTCACAACACACTCACTCGCACCCACACACAGACACAAACAGGCGCACGTGTACACGTGCACCTGTCCATGTGTATGGTATTGTTTCGATCATTCTTATGATTGCTACTGCTACTTCTAGTGCGACTGCTGCTGCTACTGCTGCTCCTACTACTATTACGATTATTACAACTACTGCTAGCACGACTGTTGTTACCACTACTGTACCATTGCCATTAATTACTAGTGGAACTACGAGACTGTTGGAGCAACAGCTACGATTACGATTACTGTTGCTATTTCATATTGCTACCTTACTATTCCCATAACCAGAACCATAACTATTACTACCATCATTTTACAACTCTTGTTTTCATAACTATTGCTCTTGTTATGACTATTAGTGTTACTGTACTGTGGAGAGCAAGAACGAGGAGAGAGATATATGCATGTATGTATATATGTACATATACATGCATACACGCATATGTACAAACACAGACACACATTTGTTCACACATATATACATATACATACATATACGTATATATGTGTACATATACATATACATGCGCATACACACGTGGCTCTTGTTTGCAGTTTGTCGCTTTTCTGATCATCTTTTGTTTTCTTCGTGTCTGAACTAGATCTAAACTTACTGATCTGCCGCTTCTGTCATTGTCTTAGTTACACGTCTCGAACATCAAACTTTCACAAACAACATGTAAGCACGTCACTGCATGCAAACCCCTTGCGCAGTCTTCACAACCGACATGTGAACACAGCACTGCAAAAAAGACGCTTGCAAACACAATCGACTTCACCAGCTATCCGGCATTGGATCCAGGTGCAGCTCTGCAGGCACAGAGGGACTCGTCGGTGACTTCATCCACTCAAGCTCCATAGGTTTGCTAGCATGGCAGGGATGACACGCGCGCACAGAAACGCAGACCTCCGTGTGCATTTTTGTGTATGTGGATGCAGGCAAGAAGCAACAAGTTCGCCAGGATCCGAATGCGAACCCACGGCACGTACAAGCACTGTGTGCATGTAGTAGCATGTTGGAAAAACATGGCAAGGCCGATATTATCGCACGTTATGACGCTACGTATGTGGAGCAAAAACGCGAAACAAAACACTATGCTTCTGCGCGGAATTATTTGTTGATTTCAGATTCAACAACAGGGAACTGTAACGGCAGGACAGGCTATCATGGTTGGGCATGGATGCACTGGATGGGTTGGTAGCATGGAGGTTATCATGTTTGGGCATGGATACTGGCATGGATGGCAAGCCAAATTGAGCACGCTGCAGACCTGAGCGACAAAAAAGTGGAGCAAACGAGGGTGATCGGCCCTAGATACAGTATACGACACCATATGTGTACATGTATACTGTATATACATGCAAAGATACATGCACGCTGAACTGATTCGCATCACCACGTTTTGCGCCTGCTCGCGTGAAGTGTCCCAAAGGGCGGCTGAAAGCATCTGAACGCCGTCGCGAAATGTACGTCTGCAAACGGAAATGAATGGAGGCACTAAAAGACTAAAGAGAGCAGGTAGTCAGTAATTGCAGCGCTGCGTGAGTTGCCTGGGTCGACAACATCAACAGCCGGGCGCCAAGCCTCCAGATCGACGTTCTGATGGTTTCTGTGCTCCCAGTCATGGCCTGCAAAGGTGCCCACTGCCAGAGTCCGGTGCTCACCCACCCGGCTGCTCGACGAAAGGCTTCACTCAAGTGGCTGGTGGGTCCTCGACGTTTTCGCAAAGCTCTTCCGCGGCCAATCTCTTCATCTGTGACTGCAGCATGGTCTTTGAGCAGCCGCACGAAGGAGAAGAGCGGCGCGGCCTGTGGCACTGAAGGTGCCTTCTTCTTTGCTCACTCCCGAAGTCAGCGCAGCCTTCACCTTGATCCCGGCCAGAACGTTGTCGGCCAGCTGCGTTGCTGCAACACCACGGCGCTTGGGTCCTCAGCCAGACATGAAGAGGCTCGCGAAGAAGATAGCTGCATGGAGATCCGCAGCGGAAAGCGCCGCCGAAAGCCCTGCAGGAAGGAGCTCGCGTGCACCACGTCGAGTTTGGGATCCTGTGGCACCACCGATGAAGAAGTTGGGTGCTGCCGCGGGAACTTGAGCATGTGCAGCGAGCTCCCAAGTCTGAAAGCGAGCGCGGGGCAGGTTCACCGCGGCTTGCAGTCCGAGCCTTTTGGCATCAGCGGACTCGGTTGCAGTGGCGATCCATACTGCGGCCGCAGCAAGGGCGGCATCATAAATCTGTCGCACCAGTGGTTGCCAGCACGGAAATAACTTAGCTAGGCATTCGCCTACGCCTCGCCGACAAGAAGTTTCGCAACTGATCACATCCAAAACCCACATCTGGAACCACTTTGGCCAAACTGCCCAGATGATCGCGATCTCGTCCGTCCCGGGCAGCGCCGTCATGAACCAGCTGCACCAAGAAAGCCTTATCCGATGGTCACTCACTCTGGCGTTGCTACTTAAGACCTAGGAAGTAGACCACATTGGAAGGGGCCGCCCAACAGGATAAAGACCAATAGCTTCTCGCCTCAAGACCACTTGCATCAAAGTTCCTGAAGCCATAAAGTTTTGAACGAAAGCTGAGCCACGGCCGCTGTTTCTAGCCGCCCAGCCCCTGTCATGGGGAAGCTGTCGAAGCCGCTCGGATCGCCGCGCAATACTGCTCAAAATCGATGGTCAGCTAAGGAGTGTCAGTTGTAAAGCCAAGACAGCTCCAGCGGAGGTGCCCATGCACTCGGCGGGCCGGAACAACTTTGCCCATGCAGGGCGGCCTTACCAAGGAACCCAGGTTGTGAGTATAAGCTGCGTGCAGGGTGTCCAAAGCGCAGCGGCAGGAGCTCAGTCAATGCCTCGTCACGCCAGCGCGGTCTCCATCCAGCAAGGGGGTCCAGGACAACGGAATTAGTCGAAGGATCCGCGGCCAGCAAGCTGAAGAACCAAGCGCTCCACAGAATCGCACCTGCTCGTTCAGGAAGGTGATATTCACGGAGCCGCCGATGAAAGTATCAGAGCTCCCTCTGCGAGATACAAACAGGCAACAAAAGGCGCAGCAGTGAAATCAGAACCCGCGGGACAGCTGAGGATAAGATTGCGGCTGTCACGCAAACACCGCAGATGCAACCATCAAATTTCAGAAGGATTCCAATCCACAAATGGAAGCTGTGGAAAGCGGGCGTCCAGAACCTAGCCTCCCTGACTAGCCGCCCACGTCCAGAGGAAAGGTCAGCTGGAGCGGTCACACGGCTTCTGTGGCATGTTTAGCATGGCATATCACAGCATATGACATATGTGTAGAAAACAACATAGATCTTGTGAACACGATTGAAGATATGTATGAAGTATGCAAAAAAGTTGTATAGCACAGTACAGTATCGTGCAGTATAGCGCGGCGAGGTATACTAGATGAGAAAATCGATAACAATAATAATGATCATAATCATAAGATCACAACATGTCGCATGATATAGCACACTAGTACAACAGCATATCATATGGTACACTGTCGTACAAGATATTGCACAATCTATCTTTCATATGCGTTTATCTTATAGTATACCGTCGTCTTTAGTTTCGTATAGTGTATATTACAGTATAGTATAACTACGTGTAGTACGTACTATGTAGGACAGCTTTTGTGTGCAGAACAAGATCAGACAGTCAGTAGGCTACAGTACGAGGGTATGCAACTGAACATATTAATACTGTGACTTGGTATCATCTTCTCGACGGCCCTGTTTGAATTTCTGGTTTTGCCAATGCTGTTGCGCAGGTAGTGCTTCTACTGCAGCATATAGTGTTCAAACAAAGCAAATAACTCGAATTAACTCCATGAACCCATGAAGTCGGGTCCGAGGCGCAGCCAGGCACGCTGGCAGGAGGCTGGACGTGAGTGTCTGGTGGGAATGCAGGTGCGATCTCAAAGCCCGGCTGCTGGCATCGTCGTACCTCAAGCGAACAAACTCTGCAGTGCTTTGCAGGTGCTTTCCGACTGCTGGCTCATCCAAAAAGACGGTGCACGCCGGCTGCCCCCTTCAAGCCAAAACAAGGGCTGTCTGACGCTAAGCGCTCGAAATCCGCGCAGGGGCACTTCTTGGTGAAAAGTGTGTCAAGGATGTTCCGGAACCAGGAGATGAGTTGAGACAAGGCACCCTGCGTTGAGGACAAGTACGGACGCTACGAAGGTCTCGTCTCGAGCACCGTGGGACTTACTTGTAGCGCAGCAATTTAGCACTTGCATCTCGCCTTCTTTGACGATGGACCGTCGACAGAGGTCTCAGTCGAATCATGGCCGCCTTGCGCATCCATGATGTTCACCTGTTCGAGATCGAAGTTCGATCTTTCAGAGGCCAGTTCGTTCGGCCCTGCCGAGGGACACCGCACGCGGGAATCGCGGGAACACTCAAATCTGGGAAGTTGCCGTTGGCTGGACATCCTCCCCTCTCAGCGACGTGATCTGCAAACTGCACATCACAGCACACAGCTCCGGTTGTTTGGGAAGCAGAATGACGATGTCTGTGTCAAGTATGCGGCCTCGTCCAGTCCAATTCCAAGATGTGTCTCGCCCTTGTCGTGCTCAGATGCCTGCACAAACATGTCAGCAAAGGGAGTGAACACGGCTGAATAAATATGTGGCCCAATCTACAACACCTGCAACAAGGCCAGTGTTCCCGAGGTCATTGGACTCTGGAATGATGCGCTTAGGGTGAGAAGGATGTCGCCTCCCCAGCATTGCGGAAACTTGAAAACGAGAAATCCAGCATCAAGACATATCAAGACCACATGCCAAAAGAAGCCTCCTGGCATCTTACCTTTCAACCGAGTATTCAACGCTGCCCCAAACGAAGCTGCATGCCGAACGTCGATTCTCAAATCCTCTCCCAGCACCGACCTTGATCACTTGCGCGGGCGGGTTCCTACCAAGCGACTGGGACTCCGCAGTGGGAACGCGCAACGTGCGACGGGGATCCTCTGCAACGGCGCTTCGCAGGAGTAGCCAAGCGACCACATGTGCGGAGCGACTGGGAACTTCGCGGAGAACGCTTTAAAGCCCAGCAGCACATCGACAATTCAGGAACCAAGCCCAAAGTGTCACTAACGGCCGATGGGTTTAGACAAGCAGTCTGTGTGCAATCCCAAGCATCGAGAAACGACAAAGCGTCAGATCTTTTGAGGCTTCGCCTATCAAGGCACGGAAACTGACCTGCAGACTCCAAAAGATCACACTGCCGGTACATGGATAAAGGATACATGTCACCCAAACGTCGAGAATGTGTGGCTACGGGCCCAAACAATATCTTCTTGATTCATCAGGCTCACACAGGCCAAGGGGCATGCCAAAGCCCAGCGAGGCAACGCTGGAAAAGGCTTTCAAGCTCAGGGTTGGGAGTTACTTTCGGAAGCTCTGCAGATTGCTAGGCATGCGATGTTCTGCTTCGCAACACAACTCAGGGCGCACCTTCAGCAAAGGGAGAAACAAACACTGCGGAAATAAACACCAAAACGCTCAAGGCAAACATGCCTTAGAAAGTGTATATCCGCATAGCATGCATAAACAAACCAAAAGGAAAGCCGGGGCCGTGTCAGTAGTGCTGGTCAATTGCCAAATTGCGCTCGCTGAAAGAGCGACAGCAAACCAGCCAGGCCGGCAAATTTGGGAACAAAGAACGATGCGAATCACAAGCAGTGGATCACTCGGGCCGGGCTTGCAAGAGTCAGCACAGTTTAAATCATCCAATTGTACCGAATGAGTTATCGTCACCTGTTGTACATATCAAGTCTTGAGCTCATGTCATTGTCGCTGCCGCTGCTTGTCTGTCGTATCTTGCTGTAATGACTGCCACATCTCCGTGGGGAGAAACGAGCCAGAATCATCGACCTCAGATTCAAAAAAGAAATTATGGAAATTACCTGACGCATGGTGTTGGGTTTTGCATCTGAAATTCAGTCTCTTCGGATCGGCCCGACGACAGGCCCTTGAAAAACTTGACGGACTCTGTAGCGCTTCAAACCGACATGTTTGAGCCAGCGCATGGATTACGGTCGTGCGTTTTTGCTGTTTGCGGGGTCTTGGCATTTTTGCTGTTTTCGGGGTCTTGGGGTCTGTGGGGCGGGGGGGGGGGGGCTGATAGCGTCCACTTTGCCGCCATCATCATGATCATCGTCATCATTGTCATCATCATCGTCATCCTCGTCATCATCACGGCCTGGTCATCGCTTACGTTCCGGTCACATCATCCCCACATGAGGTTAGAGTCTCTTTTGAATCTACTTCGTGTGCAGCAGCAGCCAAGCTCGGCTTTTGGGGTTGAGAAAAACTCTCGCAGAAGCATCACGTGTACTGACACGTGTTCGGAAGCGTGCTAGAAGCTAGAAGCTTTTACATCCAGAGCTCCGGTGCAGCTATGCCTTTCGGTGCTGGGGTATGCACTCTCACCTTTTGTGCGAAGAAGTCTGCAGACTCCTTCAAGCATCTTCCGAACAAGACCCTACACAACAATGACTCACAGTGCCCCAGCACAAAAAAGACCCAACACATAAAATTCGCCCCCCCCCCCCGAAAACAGCTAGTTCTAAGCCGAAACACCGCAAAAGCTTGTAACTTGTAAATAACAAGGAATTCCTGACCTGTTACGTCCGATGTGGCATTTAATGTTTGGTTGCCCAAAATCGTGCTGAAACCACACGTTTGCTAGCCTTGAAGCATAACGTAACACTTTTTTACTACCCCAAACAAGCTTGAAATGTGCTTAACACTGTGGTGGGAACACTACTTCGCCACAAAATCTCCGACAAAAAACCGTGCGGCGGGATGTTTGAGCCTGTACTTCATAACAGCAACTTCCAAACACATCGACGGTATGATCGGCTGCTGTGCCCTGCTGCAACCGGCTTTTGCTTTGTCGGGTTTGGAACCTGCATCCCCCCCTTGGCCGGGCAGTCACATTGATTGGTCTGGGCAAGTCGCACGCAAGGCGCAGGATCAGAAGCTCTCCGAGAAACTGCTCAGATACTTGCTCTGTTTGCAAGCTTTATCCGAACTTGGCGGTCAAATGTTCAAGGTCAGCGCTTTGCGTCCAAAGTCATTCGAGATGAATCGATTGGAGCACAGCTACTTTGGCTCGTGGGCGGTACTTGAGTAGCACGGTTGGGATTCAACGCTCCCATGCGAAGCTCTTACGGCTCAAGGCCAAAAACACCACATGCTTAGCAACGTTTGAAGGGGTTTCCTGTTGTTTTGCATCGATGTAACAATATGTGGCATGCAGGGCCTGCTAATCAACTGTGGAGGAGGTTGGCATATGGAAACGCAAAGCTTTCCGCAACAAACAAAATAGACTGGCACATCGTCAAGCACCGTGAAGTTGGGCCGCCATTTCTTTTCACGCAACAGTCTAGTCTATTGCAGGACAGCGCAACCGAATCGAGCATTTTCTACATCGTGTGCGGGGCCTCGCTCTGGTTTACGATTGCCGAGAATCGTACTGCGAGAGCTCCCGCAACATGAAGCTCCTGCACGTTGGATACATTTTTTAGGTAAACTAGCTCCTCGGCCTACTCACGCCGAAGTCTCCTTGCAATAACTAAGGCACCTTCCAAAAAATGCTTGAAGAAGACTTGCTGGTCTCGGCATTGGGTGGCTTAGCAGGTTCAACGCAGTCACACAGTAAATGCAAAGAACCCAGCACCCCAGCACCCCGCCACCCCACCCGACTACCACCACCCACCCACCCACCCACCACCCACCCACCACCACCACCACTACCACCCCCACTACCACCACCAGCTGATAGTACCCTACAACCGCTGGAGAGGCGGATGTCTCTGGGTTCAAACAGCTGATGGAACCCACGCTCTAGATGAGAAATCGGGCCCGCGAACTATGTTGAGGATCTCATGGCCTGGGATTACGTTCGTGCCACATGCGAGGCACGCTACAACTCCCTGGCGCGATGGAGACAAGGTGATTCTGGTAGGTTTTCTGGCCAGCTGGACGGACTCATTGCGAGAAACAGAGACCACACTGCTGTCTCGACTGGGATTTCGAATGCCGGTATGAGCCTTACTGTCATCTTTCACGCAACTGCCTGCCACGCGAGCTCAGCTACCACTTTAGCTTTTGGACTTAGTTGTTTTGATGTCCACAAGGGGAGATCTTTCTGCTCTGGTAGGTGTGAAACCACATGTGCTGTCTAAGAACAGCCGGCGGCGCAACCGCTGACCACCGACCTGTCGCATCGTTGGGACTCCCTTAACTGCGGTACAAACAACTACCACCACCACTACCTAGTACTACAACCAGTAGTGCTACCGATACAACAACACAACAACAGCTACTACTCGTATTGCCAGTGATAATAATAATAATGATACGAGTACGAGTACGAATACGAGTATAAATACGACGCTGACGACGACGTTGACTGCTGCTACCAGCACCTGTACCCGACCAATACCACTACTACTACTGCTACTACTACTACTACTACTACTACTACTACTACTACTACTCCCACTGCCACTGCTTCTACGACTGCTACTGCTACTGCTACTGCTACTGCTACTGCTACTGCTACTACTACTACTACTACTACTACTACTACTACTACTACTACTACAAGCATCTCGGCTGACAGGGGCGAGGTGCCCCACGCAGTTAGATTCGGAGTGAGCCATTGCGGGCTGCGCTGGAGCGATCGTCGCCCACAAACTCGGAGACCGCCGCTTCGTCGAAGAAGGGGCCAACGGCTGATCCTTCCGCCACATCTTCCATAGTACCTTCCCAGACCTTGGGGAATGCTCCGTGACGGGAGCTCTCCGAACGGCACTCAAGACCTTCGATCGAAATTCCCAGGCCCTCGATCGAAGGGCATCCACCGATAGATGATCGGCATGCGGTTTGCGATCGGGCTTCCAGCGGCTTCAGGAAGCGATGTCCCCAACGGCCCAACGATCGGCATGCCGGACATGATCTGGTCAATGAGGTCGACGTCGGCACATTTGGCCGCGTCCATGAGCTCTCGTCACAGTGCCACATGGAAGAATGTACCCAGAGACACCGGCTGATCGTCGGTGGCGCCTCGGAGTAGGCGGCGGAGGCGAGCATCTGGCACTTGTTTCAGCAGATCGTCGGATTGTTGGATTAAAGCGCTTCTCCCAGTGCTGCAACAGAGAGGCAATGATCACGCACCTGTGCTGGATCTTCTACGATCTGCTGCAGCACCTGAGCCAGATCGGGCTCGATATCGGCATCGCGCGTGAACGGGTGCATAGCATCGTCAGCCGGAATGCGATCGACTCCCTGTACTGAGTAAGCAGCCAAGACGACTCCGGTTCCTTGCCACGGCCGGGTCATGTGTAGAGCTTCCTTAGCGTTGAAGGCGATGTTGTTGTCGACGAAGTCCGTGTTAAAGCCGGGGATCGGGCGACCGTTGATCACTTGCACGTCCGACCCGAGAGGGTCCTCTATCCACAACCCTCCACCATCGAAAGATCCCAGCTTGAGCACCACATTGGGAACGGGTTCGTCTCGATGGGGCTCGGCCTCTTGATCATAGAGAAAATACAATCCGGAACTTGCTGGGAGATGTATGTTGCGATCACCTTGATTGCCCAGGGCCACGAGTGACACGACGAGCGCAGCCTCGTGATGCCGCCGTGCCGATAGGCGCCAGCAAAGAATGCGCCCCCTCTTTCGTCGGCAGCTTTGTGCTGTCCTTGGACCGGGAGCTCGAGCACCAAGCTGAGAACCTCTTCTCGACCCAGGAGCTTCTTCTTGAGCAAGAGTTCCTGCGCCGCCGCCTCGAGATCGTGGCCTCCTATCGCACCCGAGAGAGTGAGATGGGGCTTGCCTTCAGCGTCAGCGGGAGGCGATCAGTGGCTACCGATCAT